GTTTTCATGCTGTTACTAGTTCTTAAGGTCCCTTTGCAAAGGCTTGATGTATTTTAACACAGGGCTTACCAGAAGAATCTGCTTCTATTAGTGTTGCTTTTCATGCTGCATTGCCCACTTGGGCAGTCCACACACCTAGTGGTTTTATCATGTTTTATTGTATTTGGTTGCTCTTGGACCTCTCTCTGTGTGGTCATTTATCCATGCTCAAGGATCCCTTTATTTTTCGTTATTGGCTCTCCAAGGAAACCAATATGGACCTTAAATATGGTAACTCCATAATAAACTCTACTGAGTACATGCTGAATGAATAGGTCTTAGATCTGAAACAGAACATGTAAAACACTCGTAAGTTGTAGGAAGACATACTAGAATTTCTACTTTTATTTATCATAAATCTCATTCTTCTATTTACTTTAGTGTATTTTATAATGTAAATAATATGTTCTTGGGGAGCCTGGTTGGCTCAGTTGTTAAGCCTCTGCCTTCGGCTCAGGTCATGATCCCAGGGTCCTGGGATCGAGCCCCGCATTGGGCTCCCTGCTCAGCGGAAAGCCTGCTTCTCTCTCTCCCACTCCCCCTGCTTGTGTTCCCTCTCTCACTGTGTCTCTCTCTGTCAAATAAATAAATAAAATTTTTAAAAATAAATAAATAAATTGGCAAAGTCATCTTACTGGAAAATGTGTATTTATTCTGCTCCTATTTTGATTAGGAAGGGATAGTTTCCATGTAGTGTGTTTTTACTCTAAGAATTATTTTTTTAAAGACTACAAACAGATCTTTATCCATGATGTCTTCCTGCTTTTAAAACCCTTCACAAGGTTCCCTTTCCTCCAAACCCTTCCTGATGCAGATTATAAAAACATTTATAAATAATGAGGAAGTAACAATTATATTTACACAGTAAGAGAAAAAATCAAAATCGTTTAAGATAAAAGATATGTTCTAAGAAAGTTATATATAGATAACACTTTAAAAAGAAAATTATACTTTAAAAATGTATCAAGGGAGCTTGCTCTTTAAAGTTATTTTCATGTAAATGGTTTTATAAAACAGAATAATTTCATATAAATGACTATTCTTTTCCTGTATTTTGTTATACAGGGTTTGTTTGAATTGAAGTACGCCTTCACAGGCAGTAAAGTTTTCTAACATCTCCTTCTTTTAAAGGAAATACAAAAAGAATTTGGAGCCTAAGTACATTTTATACAAAGTCCTAAACATTTTACACACAACTGCAACAGAATGCCAATGCTCAATCTGCCATTATCTTGATGACTTTGAAACAGACTGCCTGTGACCCTTTGTTATAATTTTGCTTTGTAATCTAATGCCATTAGCCAGACCATCTCTAACAGGGATCCTCTGAATTGATTAATAGCATCTCATTCAACTAGGTGTTCAATCTAAAAATATTGGTGCCATCTTTAAATCCTTCTTCCTTCTTATAATTCATATCGAATTAGTTACTGAGTCTTGTAAATTGTATATTTATATGTATATTTCAATTCTCTACCTTCCTCTTTATTCCAATTGCCACTGTCCTAATTAAAGCCATATGGTCTTTCTGGTCTATAACAATAATGCCTTAACTGGTTTCCTATAACCATTCCTCCTGTCCTTCAATCCTTCCCTCCTTCACACTGTTGTCAATAATATCTTCTAAGACATGCATGTGTTTGGTCATTCTCCCATTTAAATAAATCAATGTCTGTCTCTTAATTGCCATAGAAAACCTTCAAATTTCTTGAAGTGCCACCCAACTAACTTTGCAATTATTCCTTAGAAACCTGGGTTGTCCACTGTTCCTCCCCCACCATTCCAAACTGTCCACATTTCCATCAACATGTCCATTCACTTCCCCAAATTTCCATATCTTTCCTTTTTCTCTTTCCTCTATCTAAATTCCGTAACAGTCTATCTAATGAAATTTTTAAATATTTGGTCCAGATTTTAACTTTTTGTTAAGTCTTCTCCAGGCCTCTGCTTTTTGGTACTTCCATATTTCTTTTTCAGGACTGTATGTCAATATTTAATGTGTTGGATAGCTAGAAAGCATGAATCCACCCTGTAAAAGAATAGCTCTTTGAAGGTAAGAGTGTTGCTATTTCAAATATTAAATGGTCATATTCATTATTAAGTCAAGTATGATGTTTTGTACCCTGGGAGCCTTTGAACCGTTAAGTATTTCTGATGTATTTTTTAAAAAGTTCTTAATTACAGTCCCTTCAACAGTGGTGTTGGGAAAATTGGACAGCTACATGCAAAAGAGTGAAACTGGATCACTTTCTTATACCTTACACAAAATAAACTCAAAATGGATGAAAGACTTAAATGTGAGACCTGAAACCATAAAAATCCTAGAAGAGATCACAGCTAATAATTCTTTGGCATTGGCAGTAGCAACATTTTTCTAGATATGTCTCCCAAGGCAAGGGAAACAAAAGTAAAATTAAACTATCTGAACTATATCAAAATAAAAAGCTTTTGCACAGTAAAGGAAATAATCAGCAAACAAAAAGACAACTTACTGAATGGGAGAAGATATTTGCAAATGACATATCTGATAAGGGGTTAATTTCCAAAATGTAAAGAACATGCATGTGTTTGGTCATTCTCCCATTTAAATAAATCAATGTCAACTCAACACCAAAAAAACCCAAATAATGGGCAGAAGACATGAACAGACATTTTTCCAAAGAAGACAAATGGCCAACAGACACATGAAAAGATGCTTAGCATCACTCATCATCAGATGAATGCAAATGTATAATTTTTTTTCATTTTTTTCAAGGCCTTCTTTTCTTTTCTTTTTTCTTTTTATAAATGTATAACTTGAAGCAACTTTTCAAGTTACAGACAATGTAGATAAGATTTTTCTATTATGCATATTATTTCCAACCTTGGAGAATAGTGTTTAAAATTATTATATAAATTATATGCAATATAATATTTATAAAAATTCCAACAAATATGGTCTACTAAAAGAACAAAATAATATGAAATAAAGCATAAAATAGGAAATAACTACTACACTCTTTGTGTAGATGATATACTTGAAATTCCTATTAAATAATATTTTAACTGCTTTTTAAAATGGGAAGCTCATAAATAAATTTAAGATACTAATAAAACTGGCGGGTGCCTGGGTGGCTCAGTTGTTAAGCGTCTGCCTTCGGCTCAGGTCATGATCCCGGGGTCCTGGGATCGAGTACCACATCGGGCTCCCCCCTCGAGGGGAAGCCTGCTTCTCCCTCTCCCACTCCCACTGCTTGTGTTCCTGCTCTCGCTATCTCTGTCTCTGTCAAATAAATAAATAAAATCTTTAAAAAAAAACCCAAACTGGCAGGGTAACCCAAATTTTGAAGAATATTGCAAGTTGTTGCAAATGGCAAGATTTCATTATTTTTTATGGCTGAGTAATATTTCATTGTATGTTTATACCACACCTTTTTTATCCATTCATCTACCATTGGACACTTGAGTTACTTCTTGGTTATTTTAATTAAGGCTACAATAAAAACAAGGGTGCATATATCTTTTCGAATTAGTGTTTTCATATTCTTTGGTTAAATACCCAGTAGTGGAATTACTGGATCATGTGGTATTTCTATTTTTAAGTGGCTACACCAATTTGCATTCCCACCAACAGTGCACAAGGGTTTCTTTTTCTCTACATCTTCTCCAACACCTGTTGTTTCTTGCGTTTCTGATTTTAGCCATTCTGACAAGTGTGAGATGATATCTTATTGTGGAGTTGGAAATACTGCTTTTCCTATTATTATATATATATATACTATTTTCAGGCATGATAGACTTTTATTTTTATGAAGGTTTTTGGTCAAATTAAAAGATCAATAGATACTGCTACCTTATATGTCAGGCTCTCAGAGATTAAGATTTTCCTTAGCACTATATTTCTTTGTTGGAAAAAATTAGTGAAAATATCATCAATAAAGTAATATAGAGCATTTCCTCAGTGCAAATATAGTAAGGGCATAATATGTTTCATTCATAATATTAAACTTGCACCTCTTTTGGAGTAATTGAATACAGTGAAGTTTCAAAACAATCTAATAGAAAATGAAATAAAAGGGAACTAAATAATGGATTTGCCTCTTCTACAATAATATGTAAGGTTAGAGAAAGAGGAGAGGATAAAAACCTCTCCTCTTGAATAATTTTACTGATTTACTTTTCATTGAAGGTGACTGTCAAATGAGTCAATGGTGAAGGTTTTGTTGGAAAAATAACAGAATATTGTGTAGTTTTACAAATTATTAGCTTTCAGATAGCTGAAGAAAGACTCTGAGACTGAAATACTTGAAACAATAACCAAAAAGGTCAATGGAATGAACTGGTTTTGGGGAATTCAGAAATGCTTAAACTATTCATGAGTTAAATTTAGATCTATAATCTACAGATGATAGTGTGGTTCTAAAGTTTTAGCCTTTTATTCCTGCTCACATTCTCCCCAAGTGTCATTCAGAAAAAAAGTTTAGAGTGTACTTATATATCTCCAGAGAAACCTATCTTGTTTATTTGCAAGTATGATCAGGTCATTCCATAACATTTGCTGTGAGGAAAAAAAGAAAAGTCATTTCATAACCATTGGTTCTCACTAGCACTGACTTAATTGACTCACCATTGGCCTATACAGAACTCCATTTAAAAGAGATAATTATTAAACATCAAGAATACCTCAGGCAAAGGCAGATTTGTTGTGAGGGCAATCAAGACTTGGACCTCAAGCATGATATGAAAGTCCCAGTACAATGGAAGAAAGAAAACAGTCAAATATATGAAGGTTTTTGTTGTTGTTTTGTTTTTTTGACCAGGCACTCAGATAAAGCAAATACTTCTCAACTAAATGATGATGTTAAATTTGGAAAATGACAAGTGTGAGCAGAAAATTAGGAAAACAAAAACAGAATTATTCTTATAATATTAAAAACAATACAAGTAAACAATCTATATTGGAAAAGGACATGTAAACTTACAGTTGTTGTATAAGCAGCTTCTGGATCATCTTCCAGCACCCGGGAGAGACCAAAATCAGAAACTTTGCATACTAAGTTGCTGTTGACCAATATATTCCTAGCTGCTAGATCACGATGAACGTAACCCATATCAGAAAGATACTTCATTCCTGACGCAATGCCTCGGAGCATACCGACCAACTGGATGACAGTGAAATGGCCATCATGTTTCTGAAAGAGAATCACAATGGTTTACATTGATTTATTTTAATGTAGCATGTGTGCGTGCGGGCATGTACGTGTGTGTGTAGCATTAAGGAAAACCTTGGAATTTATTTTACTGGATCCAATGAATACAAGCATCAAATTTGCTGACCATGAAATGTAAGAATTTGTTTGACATTGAAAGGAAAGGAAAATCTAGCTGGAAGTGATGAAGGAGAACAAACAAAGGATAGAAGAGAACCAACCAAATGAACTTCCAGAAAGACTGATTTCAAAAACTTTAAGTAACAAGAGGGACCTGCGTCAAATTAGGTAGCAGCAATGACTACCAAGAGAACAGAATTCACTTTCCATAATTGTGACTGATGCACCAGCTGTGCACGTGGACAGAAGGACAGCAAAAGCTAGGACTGGATAAAAGCTGTGTAATAACTTGAAAGGTGAAAAACAATTACTCAGGAAAAAGAGGACTTGTTTGCATAAACAAGAAACAAGTTTAGGGAAGCTATAAGAAAGAGAGAAAAAAATACACGCAAAACAGAAAATAACTAGATTTTCCCATTCTTTCATTATATTTAGAGCAAATAGAAAGGAAGTTGTTGGCAACTGACTGAAAACAGGACTATTTTAGCTCCCAGTTGGAAAGATTAAATGAAATCATATGAATAACAAGCCAGGCACGGCACTGGTACGCAGCTCAATCCCTTGATTGCTTATTCTTCTCATCTTGATTTAAAAATAACATTTTTTAAAGGAAAAAATTCAGTTGTCATCCATGCAAGATGTGTGCACCAATAAGACCAGACAAACTGTACCTAAAAATTAGAGAAAAATAAAATAAAAATATTTTAAGTTTGAAAAATAATGCATATTGCTCTACATAGTTATTTGGGGATAGCTGTCTCCAAAGGAGTTATAGAGAAACATGAAAGATTCTCGAGTTGGTTTTATACACTAGGTAACATTTATTTATGAATGTTATTAAAATGAATATCTAGCAAAAGACTATTGAGCTATATTACCTTATACAGTGTGGTAGATGCATAAATAAGAGTTATCTTAAAATTTGCAAAGTTACAGCAGTTTTCATGGATAGCTGATTTAAAACTATAGCATGGGTTAAATACGGGGGTGATCTGACTGTATCGCAGTGACGCAGTATCCTATACAACGATGATTCACTGGTCAGTTAAATGAAGAAGCTTCTACTACAAATGAAATAAACTTTGTCTTTATATCAACTTATCTCCCTGATAACTCTCTGATAATATCTCCCAACTGAAGTGCAGAGTAAGGAAAAGAACCCTCTCTTAAAAGAAACATTCTATAGCAAGAGTATCCATTTAAGCAGGCTCTTCTGTATAATTAATGTATAAAAGATAACCTAGCAAAGAAAATCTTTGGTGTTATTAGCTCTTTATGTTTCCAATCCATCTTCCTATACAGGGCACTATGAGATGAAATCTGCCTCTTCTATCATGTACCCTACCTACCTCTCCTCTATTAGGACTCTCAAAGCCTTTCAGTAGAATTCAAAACATAAATTCTTTTGGCCTAGAAAGGATTACACTAAATTTAAAGAGGTGGCTCTTTTACCTATTAGAAATGAAGTTGCCTGGTATCACAGTTCTCATCAATGCAGAATTTCTGCATGGTAGGAAATGTTAATGGACCATCTGAAAACTAAGGAATGCCTCAGTTTTCTTATCTGTACAATGAGAATAGAATAATCTAACTCAGAGATGCAGTGAATATCACATACAAAACACAAAGCACAGCCCCTGACTTATTTTAATAATAGTTATTATTTAATAAAACCTTGTTGTACTACAATTACATGTAGTTCATGTAATTTTAATATGAGTCAGAAAATTCTCCTCTCACTTTCCTGAAAAATCAATTGAGCAACATAAACTCCTACATCATAAAAGGAAATCATTATTTAATTCCAGGTTGAAATTTAATTTCCTATCTATTCTGAGAGTGACACAAAGCACCAAGTTCTTTCTTTTTTTTTTTTAAGATTACTTTTTTAGAGCACTTTTAGGTTCATAGCAAAATTAAGAAGAAAATATAGAGATTTCCCATATATCCTCTGCTCCCACACATGCATAGCCTCCCCCATTATCATTCCCTCACCAGGGAACTATATTCTTGGTATTCTACATGCTATGGGTTTGGACAAATTTCTATTGAATAAACCCATTTTATACCACACAGAGTATTTTCACTGTCTTAAAAATCCTCTGTGCTTCACCTATTCTTCCCCAGCTCCCCAAACCTTGGCTACCAATGATCTCTTTAGTTTCTTCATAGTTTTGCCTTTACCAGAATGTTATATAGTGGAATCCCACAGTAGGTAGCCTTTTCAGTTTCTTTCACTTCATAATATGCATTTAAGTTTCCTCCATGTTTTTTCGTGGCTTGATGGCTCCATTCCTTTTAGTGCTGAATAAAATTCCTTTGCGTGCACAACAGTTTTATTTATCCATTCACCCACTGAAAGACATCTTGGTTGCTTCCATGTTTTGGCAATTATAAATAAATAATTATAAATGTTTATAGCATGTTTATAGCTGCAGGCTTTTATGTGGATATATGTTCTCAACTCCTTTTGTTAAGTACCAGGGAGGGCAATAGCTGGTATGTTTAGTTTTGTAAGAAACCCCCAAATTATCTTCCAAAGTGGCTGTACCATTTCACGTTCCTACCAGCAATGAAGGAGAGTTCCTGTTGCTTCACATCCTTGCCACCATTTAGTGTTACTAATTTTGGCCATTCTAATAGGTGGTGTCTCATTACTTCAATTTGCATTTTCCTGATGACATATAGTATGAAGCACCCTTTCATGTGCTAATTTTCCATCCATATATTTTTTGTGGAGTGCCTTTTAAGGTCTTTGGCCCATTTTTAAATTGGCTTGTTTTCTTATTGTTGAATTGTAAGAGTTCTTTGTATATTTTAGGTAAGTCCTTTATCAGATGTGTCTTTTGCAAACATTTTCTCCCAGTCTGTGGCTTGTCTTCTCATTTTCTCAACATTGTCTTTTGCAGAGCAGAAGTCTTAAATTTTAATGAAGTCCAGCCTATCAGGTTTTTTTTCTTGGATTGTATCTTTGTAGTTGTATCTAAAAAATCTTTGCCATATCCAATGTCATCTAAGTTTTTCTCCTATATTATCTTCAGGAGTTTTATAATTTTGTGTTTTACATTTAGGCCTGTGATCCATTTTGACTTAATTTTTGTGAGGGGTGTAATGTTCTGTGTCTAGTTTTTTGTTTTTTGTTTTTAATTTTTGCATGTGGATATCCAGTTGTCCCAACACCATTTGCTGAAAAGACAATTTTTGCTCTATGGTATTGCCTTTGCTCTTTTGTCAAAGATTAGTTGACTACATTTATTACAGACTTTCTATTCTGTTCCACTGACCTGTTTGTCTATTCTTTCACCCTTAGCACACTGTCTTGATTCCTGTTTATGTCTTGAAGTCGGGTAGTATCAGTTCTCCAGCTCTGTTCTTTTTCAATACTGTGTTGGCCATTATACGTCTTTTGCCTCTACATGTAAACTTTAGAATCATTTTGTCGATATCCACAAAATAACTTACTGGAATTTTGATTGGGATTACATTGAAAATATATATCAAGTTGGAAAGAACTGACATTTTAATAATATTGAGTTTCCTTAATTATGAACATGGAATATATCTGCTTTTATTTAGTTCTTGATTTTGTTTATTAAAGTTTAGGTTTTCCTCATATAGATCTTGTACATATTTTGTTAGATTTATACCTAAGTATTTCATTTTGGGGGGTGCTAATATAAATGGTATTGTGTTTTTAATTTCAAATTCCACTTGTTCATTGCTGATATGTGGGAAAGCTATTGACTTTTGTATATTAACCTTGTATTTGGCAACCTTGATATAATTGCTTATTAGTCTAATTGTTTTGGTCAATTCTTTCAGATTTTCTACATGGATACCATGTTATCTGTGAATAAGGACAGTTTTATTTTTTCCTTCCTAATCTGTATACTTTCTCCCTCTTTCTTGTCTTATTGCATTAGCTAGTACTTCCAGTATGATAGTGAAAAGGAGTAGTGAAAGTGACATCTTTGCCTTGTTCCTGATCTTGGTGAGACACCTTTAAGTTTCTCATCATTAAGTATAATAGCTGCAGGCTTTTTGTATATATAGTCTTTATCAAGTTTAAGAACTTCCCTTCTATTTCTAGTTTACTGAAAGTTTTTATCATAAATTGGTTAATTTGTTAATATTTTGTTCCAAGTTATTAACAGGTTTATTAAGGTATGATTAATATACCATACAATTTACACTTTTAAACTACACAAATTTATCATTCTTAGTGTATTCACAGAGTTAGTGTAACCATATAGCCATATATATAACCATTATAGCCATAAGTCACCTTTAAAACTTTTTCATCATTCCCAGAAGAAACTTTATACTCATTGGCAGTCATTCTCCATTCCCCCAACTTCCCCTACCAGCCCTAGGCAACTACTAATTAACTTTCTATAGTTTTGCCTATTTTGGTTATTTCATTTAAAGATAACCATAAAGTATATGTTCTTTTGTGACTGTCTTCTTTCACTTAATATGATGTGTCAAATTTCATTCAGTATTTTATATTATTTTTACTGATGTATAATATTTATTCATTTTACTTATACATCTATCAGTTGATAAACATTAGAGTTACTTCCACTTTTTGGCTATATGCAATATATATATTTTGTTATATATATCCCCCCACCCCCTTTTTTAGGTAAGGACATTTAAGTTCTACTCTTTTAGCAATTATCAATTCTACAATGCAGTGTTATCAATGATAGTCACCACTTATTCAACTTATAACAGCATGTTTGCATCCTTTTACAAACCCCTCTGTTTCTCCTGCTTCCCCTCACTTTTGGCAGCCACTTTTGTACTGTTTCTATGAGTTCACTTTTTTGCCTTCCATGTATAAGTGATACCGTGCAATA